AAACCGTTACAACAGAAAACGTGCAATAATAGCGAGGGAAAATAAAGGACGGTGGGGAAACTTTGTTGTGACGTGTTTCTCGATTTTACTAACATTGGTGATGTAAATCGAAGTTGGCTATAAACACACAAATATATATCCCAGAAATAAATAATTCTAAAAAGAGTAATAATTTTCAATTTACAATAATTTACAATAATTTACAATAATGTGTGTATTTCTTTATTCAATATTCCCTTCGTATAGCAAATTTATTCCGACAATTTCATCGAAATAACTGCGATAATAGGGGTAACATTTTCCGGGACGATATTATTCTCTCTCCGCTCTACAATTTATTATACTATCCATCTAGCCGTGTCAATTTTACTGCAATAATGGCGCCGACGAGTATAAAGCGGCGGTCGCTGTCAGTCGACGCTGGAAAGTGCGCACCAGAAATTCCCGGCTGCGCTTTTTCTCTTTCTCTCTTTCTCTGTCATGCGCGTCGGAAAACGCGCATGAACGAGAGTTCAATTTTAACTCTCGAAACGTTAAAAAGAATCGTTCGATCGCACGATGCAACATGTATGTTGATCGCACTCGTATTGAATCCACACTGCGCGCTGACGAGAGCTCTTCAAATGTATATCACACGTATAGTCCAAGCTGTCCCTTGACTCTTCAGTTTTTATCACCGTGTTTTTTTTCCGCGCGACTGTTCTCCGCATACTTTTTACGATTTACGCGATTTTGCGATCTTTACGCACGATCCGCGCACGTGCTCGTGACAGTTTCCCTCGTTTCTCTCCAAACGTCCTTCCTGGACAACTTGCTTGCGTCAACTCTGTTTCCCGCAAAGGATTATTCACCGCAGTTTGCTAGGCTCGCAGAAAAAAAAAGACGCGGAATAATTAACGACTAGTTAGGAATCTCATTAACTCGGAAAAAAAATTGAAATTAAAATTGCAATTGCTGAAATGAAACTATGTCTACTCGCAATTGCTGAAATGAAACGATATTTACTCAACGGAATACGATTAAACAAACCCGATGTAACTTTCAAATGAACAAAGGGGACTAATATTTATATAAAGACAAAATATCGAGTGATGGAATTTCCAATGTTTATCCATTTTATTCTCGATGATATTTATATTCGCGTCGATTAATCGTTCTTTTATTTTTATCGTTGGATTTAAACGTTTCCTGTGATATCCTTGATGTCTGAGATGTATCAATATCTCGGATGCTATTGAAGCTTCGTGTTTTTTTTTCCTCTAATGTCCGTCGACTATAAACGACACAATGTCGTTTTTCTCTATTGCAGCTCGCTGGCGATGCTCCAATATGTATTTTCTTCTCTCTTACGGGCTGTCACATCTCGCGTTTCACGACTGTCTCCTTTCGCATCGCCGACTCGTCGTTGTCGTAACACAGCGAAATAGTTTCGCGCCAGAACAATGCCACGATTACGTCGGTCCGTGTGCATTGTACATTATGAGAGGTAACACGCGCGTCGCGCTTCTGTAATTATGGAAACCAAGCATAAACTCGGCGATTTGCATTTCAAACTACCATTGTAATCTCGGGTCCGACAGGCGACCGCGTGCTTGTTCCTTCGTGCTTTTACTTATCTACCTACCTTCTGTCCTTACCCTTCATCCGTGGAATGTCTCGAAACCGTCATCCGTGTTCTCAGTTATACATTTCCTCGGTCAATTTCAAATTTTCGCTTTCTTTTTTTAACGAAGATGCGGAAGCATGAATGATTTCTTAAATTATTTTCGTTGGAATTAAAATTTTCAATCTTTATTGAATTAAAATTCAAAAATGCAAAGAGATAGGTAACATTTTGTTATTCGTCATTTTAAATATTCACGAAAATACATAATGTATTAAAAATCTTAACTGCAATGAGATTTCTATCAATAAATTGTATTTTGAATTTATAAAAAAGTAAGAGAGAGATACGACAAATCTCTATCCTGTACATATGTGAATCCATCATTCCACACGTGCTGTCACTTTTCTTTCCGATTATTCACGTTAATGCATTTCGATGCGTTCAGTCAATTCGCTCGTAAATACATTTCCGGCGTAAATTTTATTTTATGCCAAAACGATAACGCCGATAAATATATTCAGATTAATATGACACATGTGTCAAAATTATTTAAAAGTCAATTCATGCGGGATATCAATCGAGATAATTTTTGATAACATATAAAGACAAAAATAAAATATTAAATGTAAAGTCAATTTTTTCACCAAAATGGTATCAATAATCGAAGATTACTGTCAATTTTATTTTTCTAGAAAATTTTATCATCCAGAGTTATTTTTTTCACATGAGGAATAACTGACGCTATCGAGCGGATATACGCTTTGAAAATCGTTCCATCTAAATAGGTATTAATATCGGATATTGCGAATATATCGCGATACAACGGACGATATTTAAATCCCGAAGGGTGAATAAATGAAAAATCCGCGACAGCCACGGTGTCGATATTTTGACATGCGAAAAAGTTATATGCTCGCACTACTCGAAATTGCATCGCTAATTAGCGCGTTAATTATGCGAGGCATCGCTAATTGCTCTCAAAGCCCCGGCTGCGCGGCGATTTTGTTTTCCAAAATGGAAATTTGTTTGCATCGAGCCGCGAAAATTACCACGACCAGCAGAGCGCATTCATTCAGTAGACATCTCGCTAATTGCTTTTAAACCTGCAGCAGACCGGCTGCGTTTCTACATTGTGCCGTATTATGTATTTAAATGCAGTTTATATACGAATAAAATTTTATGTAATTGTGATAATAAAAAATGGCAAATAAAATAACAGAGCTTAATGTTAGCTATATTTATGATATAATAATGACAATAAAAAACTAATGTATTCAACAAAAATCTGTTACTGTATTGCATCAAGTTTCTTGTTCAAAAGTAGACAAAGAAATATGTTTAATGCAGATAGAAACGTTTATGATAAAAAAGTTATAAAAGCGGATGGTGGAAAATTTTATCACGTGGCTGAGATTCTTTAAAATACGATCGGCTTTTACGGGTGTAAATCAGAATCGATAGCTCCGCGCTATACAATATCCGAGCGAGAATGACATGTTCGTAATTTTCAGCGACATGACGTGATAGGTGAAAATCAACCTTTAACGCTCTTGCCGGCTCGCGTTTCTATTTGCAAGCCCGGTGTAAACGGCCATGGCGTTTCCAATCGTCTGCGTCCGTTCGGCAAAATATTGGCCGGGTCGATATTTCCATAAACAGCGTGCGACACAGCACGAGTATACGATGGCGCACCACGACCAGTTAGTTAATTGGATCTCCTCTAATTGCTTTTATATCCTCAGTTATGTACCATCGCATCCCGAGGCCATTCGGGGTCCAATTCGCGTTAAAAAACATCCTAGCATTATCAAAAAAATTAACAATTGAAGAACTTATTTTTGATGTATAAACCGCTGTGAAAATCGAAGAGAAAACGAAATATGTAAAAAGGTCAATTGAATTGCAGAATAAAGATAAATAAATTTGTAAAATGACGCTATTGTTTGTTAAAAGAATGATTGAAAGAAATTTGAATTTAAAAAGTAAAAAATTTGTTCTCGTAAATATATATAGTTCATCAAATCAAAAAGAATGTAGAAAAAATGTAGCTAAAGTTAGATATTTTTTTAATCTCAAAGATTGTTACAATGATTGCTGATAGAATTTTAAAGAAGAAATAAATTTGTTTTAAAATATTGATAAATTGTTCAGAAAAACAATTTTTACGATCGTATGAAAGAAACAAAACGCTAGTGAACGAGTGTAAATGATTGATTTAAAAAAAAAACATTAATTACACGTCAACCTTTTCAGTACTGAATTGTTTGAAAATTTAAGAGAAATAGTTATAAATTTAATATTCTATATAAAAATTGTGTAAAATTGCAATACAATTCAGTGAAATTGTTTGTTTTTAATTCTACAGGAACATAAACTTTAAATTTGGTGAGTTGATAAAATATTAAAGTTTATTTATCAAACGTTTTTATTATTTATATATTTCGAATTTTTTTTTAATAGTATATAATAATAATTTATAATCGAAATATAATTTAAACAATGTAATTTAAAAAAAGCTTTAATAAAAAATGCATAAATATCGTTTATGCTACTAGGTATTTTTTAAATTTAAATTTTTATATTTATATATAGTATATATTATTATTGTAACATAATTCTCTAAAAATTATAATTTATTTTTCTTCAAATGTCGAATATTTTAAATAGAAATTCTTCGAGAAAGAAAATATTTTTATAATTTTTCAGTAATCATTAAAATTTTCCATCATTGCACTTTCAATCATTCTGATGACAAAATGTAATTTACATAAAAAATTGCAATTTAAAGTTAAAATGGAAGCAAGAAAAAGTAGAGATATATAAATAATTTGATAAATTTGCGTATAAAATACAAGCGAGATCTCTTTACTGATCTCTCTCTCTCTGGTGGATCGTAATTATCTTCATCGTTCAATCATACTATCGCTTTTGATCTATTCCCGTATGAACTTAGGAGACCGTGTCGTAGTTAGAATGTTTCTGAGCGTAACGAGATCGTCTCATAGATGGAATGACAAGTCCCTGAACACACATGAGATTATCTCAATCTAATCACAAACAATATACATTGTCTTTCTTACAATTGTATTAATCAATACCTAACAATAATATATAGTCTTTACTATCGATAATATATAGTCCTTACTATCAATAATAGAAAATAAACACGCGTTATCAACAACTTAGTTTTTGACAGTTAAATAAGATGCAAGATTTTTTTTCAAATCAGTATTATTATTTGTATATTAAAATATTAAAATATAATCTCTATATTTATTCCCCATTTGCAATTTTGTCTCGCGAAATTAGCAACAAGTTTTAAAATTTATCCTATATATATAGTATCTATACATGAAATCTCGACTTACCATTCGTCGTTCACTTTATGTTGTAGGACATGTCCGACATGTGCGTTGGGACCAGTGTGGGGACCATTACCGAGCCAGAATGTTTGGGACCCTGTGAGCCCGGCACTTCCGTTACCCTCGAGGGCATCGTTTGGCACGAGACCGAAGGAGGTAAGAAGTTTGTTACAGCTTGATTCATCCATTTACCTCTGTATCTTATTGTTAGACTTACGATTTTCTTACTCTCTCCTTAATTCCTATTTAGCTGTAGGGAATTAGATAAAAATTGACATTAGAAAGGTGAATTTGAAGTATTCGTTTTTCTAAAAAGATAATAATTTTATATATTAATGTTTTCTACATTGAAGATTAAAATTGATCGATGAAGTGAGATTTCTTTTTTTTATCGGGAATAAAAAGCCATTTTGATAAATTAGTTTTATACGCTGATTTTAACAATATTATTGATTCTTCTTTTTATATAATTATTATATATTACAAGTAGTGCAGATTTAATTGAAACTGGATTTTTTTCCCTATTAATTTTAAACGATATGTGCTTTTCACAAATTTAGATGAATCCGAAAATTTAATTGAATCCACATTTGAGATACTTGAAAAATCTAATTAGCATAGTATTTTTTATTTAATTAAAAAACTAAAGTTATCTTCAATAATATTCCATAATCGATTATCCGATGGTTAATCTACTTTTCCAATAAAAACTTCTTGCAATTCGTCTAATTAGTGCTAATTATTAATTCTTTCCGCGATATATATAGTTTCTCGATAGAATATCACCCACGAACGCTTTTCTCGAATTCTTTTATATGAATGTTGAATTAACGATATTTTCATTTTTAACTGCTCATTAAGGATACGAAGGACTTGAGTGTCAACGCTTAAAAATATCAGTAAAGAAAACAAGAAAATGAGTATTAAAAATGTATCCACATTCTCTCGGTTATTCACTTGCCAAATTTGTTTCCATCGAATTTACGCTGTTATTGGCTTCGGGCTCTTCGAATAAAGTCATATGGTACTTATTGATTTATCGAATTTCTGCAATCCGCTGAATAACAGTAATAACACTAATGGTAGTTCATACAAAGTCCGTGCTATTATGGAAATCGGCGTCCTAAGGGATTATTTATACGAGCACATTTTCTATCGTTCAATGCAAAATCACCGCATCTGCCGTCCACTTGTTTTTCCCGGGATATTAAGTAATATTAAGCATCGTTAGAGAGTTGCTATATAAAATGATGTTCACCGTTACCGCGTCGTTTAAACGTAGAACGCAGGAAACGAGCCTCGCTTACCTCGCGATTTTCTTCATGATATAGTAATAAACGATAATTGTACGATGTTTCCTGAAAATAAGATTACAAGCATCATTTTTGTCGAACAAATATTGTTTATCTGTCATTTACACGTATACGGCAACAACTATTAATTGAAGTAATGCTTTAATACGAGAAAAATGTTATTTATATATTATAATATTTCTTAGTTACATTGATTGTTATTTTATCACTGAAATATGATATTTGACGAATTTAGGTGGAATATTCCTCGGTGAATTTAATTTTCTTTTTAATTTCCATTCTAAAAATGAGCAATCAATGTATATTCACATAAAACATGTCAGAAACAAAACAACTAGCTAGATGAAAAGTTCGATAATACAGATGATAATAAATTTAAGAGTCGATATTTTTAGAAGATTTAATGAAATCTATGTGAATAAAAATGTGAATGAAAATCTATGAAAATGAAAATCTAATCTAATTATCAATAAAATAATTTTTGGAATTGATAATATATAGTAAGTAGAATAAAATTAAATTTTAATTTTCTTGATTTTAACATCGAAATTTGATTTGCTTTGTGTAAATTATGATTTACATTCCGCTTTTCAGAATTAAAATTCCGTTATTCAGATTTAATAAATAATCATCGGAAAATCGATATTTTCGCGGTAACTCTTCTGGTTGAACCGTGTCATATAAATAATTGCACGAATAAATAATAACTATCGTCATTGTGGTAGCGGTCGAATAAAAATCATATCGTCTCGTGTCGACTGAAAATAACTAGCAACGATGATCAATCAATCATTTGCCCCGAGTAAACATTCGGAGAGTACGGTGTAATAGGAATAGCACCCGATCGATCTTGTTGCTGCTTGAACGATTCGGGGTTATAAATATCCATTCGATACCTGAACGGAAAAGTCGGATAAATAAAAGTGTGTTGCAATCGCGATTTTATTATTTTGTTGAAATAGCCTTTCAATCGATTTCAATTATGTAATTGCTATACATGCAATATATAATATATGTGCATCTTATATTTTTTATTTATATATATATTATATTTTACGTGTTCAGTTTTAGAAAATATTTGCTTTATTTCGCTTTGCTTTAAAAAGAAAAAAAAGAACAGAGTTTCTGTTATGAAGCATAATCATGCAAGAAAGAATTATAACTTGCCGCCTGACTGTCGAACTGGTTTACCGCAACGTTGCGTTGAAATGTTGCATTGTCATGCTGGTGTATTTTTACCGATAAGTGTAATTAGAATAAACGCGATAAACCTCATAATTGGATCGCTCGCGAGCTTATTAAGACCATTTCTACGGTTAAAAATATGTAAGATAATCCGCGATAACGATCGCGCTCGCAAAGTATGTGGATTAATTTATTTCGGATTTCAAGCGTTTTTTATGCTCATTAGAATACGTTTCGTAACTTTGAAACGTATGTTCTTTTACACATCGCTAAATCGCTCGTTGTTTCGTACAGAGACTCCGGTAATAAAAAAATATTTAAACAATAAAGCATGTACGTGTGCGTTTGATGACGTGTTATTTGAAATAAAATTTAATCGATAGATTTTTGCAAGTCATTTAATACTCTGAAAAAATATGAAATGTCCTTAATAAATCGTGTGACTCGGATTAATTAACGTTAACAAATTAGAGGGAACGTTAGTAAATTTTATACGTATTAATAGTAATGAACGTTTAAAATTGATTAAGTAAATTTTTCTATTGAATTTTACAATGAAGATTGAAACGCGAAATTACTAATACAATGTATCTAAAAAACTATACCATATTTTCCTCAATTAAACGCGAAGAATTCTCGAATGCTTTTTTTCTCTCCCCTCGCTTCCTATATGATAATGTGCCGCGATAAAATAAAACGCGATACAATAATGCGCCGCGGCTCGACTTGGCTCGCACGTGAGATAAAACTGAGATAAGGGAATGAAATTAAAACAAAAGTGCGCCAGGAAGGACGTGCGCGCCGGCGGAATAATTAATTCTATTGCGAGCGAATGTATAATTAATTCCAATTTTGCTAATAGATAATCTAGCGGAGGAAAGCCTCCTTCGAGTTCCATCGTCGCATGCTTCAACTACGATTTCGTTGTAATACGTTCTGGGACGATCTGCGGAAATAATAAAGAAAGCCGCACGCTACACGGATAACACGCGAGCACATCGCCCGTTGTAATTTCGTCGTTGTAATTTCGTCCACATTCGTGACAAAATATTACTATTGGCGCATAATACGTGTGCTCATGCATATGAATGTGTACGTAGATATAAATTATTAGTTTAAATGTTTAAACGTATGTAGAATGCTCCAAAATTATTACAAGTCGTCTCCAAATTCGTTCTATTGTTGCGTATAATTCACGGACAACATAGTTAAGTAAATAATATATAAATAATAAATAAAAAATATATAATATAATATAAAAATGATATACAAAAAATAATATATAAAATAAAAATGATATATAAAAAATAATATATATAATAATAAATAAAATATATATAATATAAAAATGATATATAAAAAATAATATATAAATATGTGTATAAAATATAACACACATAAATTACAGAGGTATGTAGAGAGTAAAATCATGAAAAATACAACTGGCAAAATTCTACCAGTATTCGCGAAATATTATTGCCAATCTTCCCAAATAAGTCGACCATTTTAGCCGAATTTTCGAGGCACATTCGACTGTGCAATGCAGACACACATGCAACCAATCGTATACACACTCGTGCATGTCGAGCGGTAAGCTGCGCGCATACAAAAGCACGTGTTTCGCGTGCATACACATACACATACCCACACAATTGCATACACGTATATAATACACATAGCCGACTCGCGGCTGACACAACATGGGTAAGGTAGCTTGTCAGACAGGTATTATGTGTAATGCCGCGGTCGTGGTTGTCGTCGGGTTAAAACTACATCGTGACTCTCCCGACTGTTCGTCCTTCTCTTGCTTTTTCTCTCACTTTCTCTCTCTCTCTCTTTCTTTCTTTCTTTCGTCTTCTCTCCCTGTCTATCTCTGTATCTTTCTACCTCTTTCTTTCTATCTTTTTCCTTCGTTCTTTCCTCATCATATTCCGTGATCTCTCTTTTTCTCTCTCCTTTCTCTTTCTCTCTGTCTCCTTTTCCTTCACGGCATCAGAGGTCTACTTTATGATCGTTCCTTCGAAGGCAGCCGAACCGAGTAGCTTGTTTTTCACCGCTGGATTCCCTCGCAAAGCAAGGATAAATGAACGGCCATTATATGAAAGGCCATTATATGAAAGGAACCAAGCGCTTCCATGTCAAAACTGAGAAATGGACTTCCAAAGTTTTCTCTAGAGAGAAAAATGTGCTGGTAATTTGTAACATCCAAATGTAAAGTTTAATTTAACTTAACAAACGGCGGACTTGAAATATTGCAAAGCACAAACGTACACCTTCTACTTACAACAATTATCTTCGTTTAGCATTTTAATAGTAAATAAATTAATTGTAAGAAATTCAAATAAAGAAAAATATGGATATGAGTAGAAAAAAATAACTTTTAGTTAACAATTAATTATAGTTCATTAAGTTAATTAAAAATTAGTTAAAGTTATTAAATAAAATTAATTAAAGTTAGTTAAGTTATTAATCTACATAAAAAGATATAACAGCCTATAGAGTAGATGTATCAAGTTATAATATTTATTAACAAGAAGTATATTTTTGTTGTAAAATTCCACTCGAGTGATCACGTCACAATCTCGGAAATGCCCATAAAATTACTTACTCTGCTTCCTCCGATATAGAAAGAATAAACTACGCGGCAAAGCCTAGAAA